TCCAGTTTCATATTTCTCTAGCAGTCAGGAAGTTTTCCCTGCTGTTCAGCTCTAATCTGGCTTCCTGTAACTTGAATCCATTCTTACATGTCCTACACTCTGGGGTGATTGAAAAGAGAACCTGACCTTCCTTTCTGTGAAAGACTTTCAATTAATTATCATGACCTCCTCCTCAGTCTTTTCTTCTCAAGGCTACACATGCCCAGTTCTTCCAGTCTGTCCTAGGGCTTTGTTTCCAGTCCCCCTGTTTGTTGTCTCCCTCTGAACTCAGAACTGGGCACAGTACTCAAGATAGGGCCTAACCAGTGCTGAGTAGAGGGGAACTAGTACTTCACTTGATTTGGAAGTTTTACTTGTATTAATGCAGTCCAAAGAAGCATTTGGCTTGTTTGCAGCCACATCACACTGTTGACTCGTATTCAATCTGTAATGCAACGGCAACAGTTCCAGGAGCCTTAACACTTATAGGACTGTTGAGTCAAGTACCACCCATTTTGTAGCTATGAATTTAGTTTCTTTTTCCTAGATGCAGAGAGTGGCATATGTCACTATTACATTTCATTCTGTGGATTTCAGCCCAGGGCTGCAACCTATCAAGATCACCTAGAATCTTGTACTATCTTCCAGGGTATTAGTTATCCCACCCAGTTTTGTGTATTCTGCAAATCTGGTAAGCATCCCTGTGCCTACTCTTACAAACCATAAATAAAAATGTTGAAAGACACCAGGCTCAGGACTAACACTCATTTTTGTCTTCCCAGTTTAAGAAGTTGTCATTGAAGAGCACTTTTTGTGTCTGATTCTGTAGCTCTGTGGGTCTACCTGATCGTTGTTCCCTTTATTCCACTTTTAGATAGTTTTCTGATCAGGATATCATGGGGCACTTAGTCAAAAGCTTTGCTGAAGTTGAGTTATATTATGTCCACAGCATTCCCACAGTCCATCACAGAGGCTACAATCAAAAATTGAGAAGAGATTAGTCTTTCAGGATTTGTTTTTCATAAATCCATCTGGGTTTCTAGCAATCACTGCTTTCAATGTGATTGCAGATGGACTGCTTTATACGTAATCTGCTTCAGAATTTCCCAAAGGATCGATGTCAGATTGACTACCCTGTGCTTCCCAGCTTCATCCCTTTCCCCTCTTTTTAAAGATAGGGATAACATTTGCCCTCCTCCAGTCTTCCTCTGGAACTTCAACATCCATGATTTCGCAAATACAATAGTCAGTGGTTGCAAGTTCCTTTATTCCTTGAGGATGCATTTCACTTAGCCCTGGAAATTTATGCAAATGAAAGCCCCCTACACATTGCACCTTATCCTTGATGCAAAGAGGGTAAGTTTGTACAGTGAATAGTTAACCTATGAAATTCACTTCCTCAAGATGTAGCAATGGCCACTGAATTGTATGGCTATAAAAGGAATTAGATTAATTCCTAGAGGAGAAGGGTGCCAGTGACCACTCATCATGATGGCTAAAGGCTACTACAGTGTCAGAGAAACAGCATGCTTATGTGCACTGGTGGTTAGGGAATATACATGGACTTTATTGTTGCATTCACATCCTGCTTACAGGATCCTGTGGCTAGCTGGTTAGTTTCTGTGTGAACTGAATGGTGGCCTGGGCAGACCTGAGTCTGAGCCAGCACGGCTGCTTTATTTTGTTACCTAATACAATGCGCTACTCCTTTCGTAAAAGACCATATGATGCCATGCATTTTTGGGATTTCCCACACAAAGCGTTGTTCACCAAGTTATCCAGAAAGATTACTGCAAAGCCAAAGTCATTTGTAATGGAGATTAGGCATAATATAGAAAGAGTGCTGTGTTTTTATTCCTAACAAAACTCTCAAGCAGTGTAAATCCCTTCTTTTGAAATCTCAATGTGAAAATTCCTTAGAAAACACCAGAAATCTTCCTAATAGCAATGGCTGTTACGTATTTAGAGTTAATGTTCAGTTGTCAAAAGCTATAATTAAAAGTGAAAACATCTTTCCTTGTCCCCTCATAGCAGAAGCTAAGAAACTTTCTTGCTCATCTAAATGCAAAGATAAATCAGTTTATAAGCTTATGCACAGTGCTAACTTTTTTTTTACAAGTGCATTTGTAAATAGTGTAACCCATCAGCAAGATGGCCATTGCCACCAGCAAAGTGAGAAAAGGAAAAAGAAGCAATTTTGCATAAGCCCTTTACAAAATGTATGCCATCTCACTGCATGAACTTTCAAATTGCTGTGCAGAGCAAAACCTGGCCAGTTTCTTTGGCACATCCTGCTTTCTTAGCATTACCCATTGTGCACACTGTGCCTGCTGTAATTTACAGATGGCTGTACCTCCAGGTATGGAATGACCTCTGTCAATATAATCTAAATAGGGCTTGGGACTGCTACGGTTTCAACTCAGATGGAATGGGCTGTGTTGAGTGTTTACGTGGGGAAAGTGGCATATTCTAGATTTATTTATTAAAGCTGCAGTAGTTTCACTAACATTTTGCTGCTGACATAGTTTCCCAAATGGCATAATTGGGACCTAAAGTATGGGGAAATGTTCTTATAAACATTATGAGGAAATGGCTTTGGCTATTTAATCTAAAGAGATGCTAATAAAAGTTCAAACTCC